GCAGATGATACGATTTGATGGAAAGTGAGTTTGCGAGAGCCCCATCTGTGATGCACCGACCTCTCGTTGACGCGGGGGGTGCAGCTGCAGCTAACCGCCGCAGAACACGATTTGTTGGAAAGTGTGTCTGCGAGAGCCCCATCTGTGATTGGATAGTGCTTCCGCCCCTGCTCTCAGCGCTGCAATTGATGACGGAGAGCGCCGTGAAGATGAAGCGTGCACGACGGGGGGGGGGGGGGGGCGAAGGATGGCCCTTGGCTGCCAGAACTGGGATGCGGGAGTGCCTTGAGCCACGGTGGGAGGCCCCGGCCAGTGGTACAGGCAGGCCCCCGCGAGCGCCCAGGGCCGCTGCGCCCGGTCGTGGCCAAGACGAAGCGTGCACTGGGGGGGGGGCGAAGAACGGCCCTTGGCAGCCAGAACGGGGATGCGAGGGTGCCTTGACCCCCGAGGGAGGCCCATGGCCCGAGGTACAGCAGCCCCCGCGTCGCCCAGGGCCGCTGGGTCCGGATGCATCCCTTTCGCAGGCCGCGTTTTGATGGGCAGCAACGGGCCTGCTGCCAGAGACCATCCTCCTCGCGCTTGATCCCTGCGCGTGCGATGCCACGAGGTGGGGCAGCAACGGCTACTGTGGGGAGACGGCCCGCCATTGTTTTTGTTGCCCTTCCTGGGTGCCTGGGTGCCCGGGTGGCCCTGTGCCGCGTGGTGATCCCTGCTCGCTCTGCCGCTTCGACCCGGGCGCAGATGCCGCAGCCGAGTCCAGTCGACGTCGAGGCCCAGCGCGTCGCTGACGACCTGTACGTCGCACTTGTGGCTGCGGAAGGATTCCAGGAAGAGGTGGCAGGTTTGCGGGTCGCGCCCAAGCGGGTCGAGCGCGCCTTTGCTGCCAGGCACGGACTGCCGCTTGGCGAAGGCGTGCCAGGTGCCTGTGAACATTGTTCCCAGTGTGACTTGGAGCCGCCTTATCGCCTCGCCAGGTGTCTCCCCGGGTAGGTCCCACTGGATGTTGTTGATTTCTGTCTTGTGCAGCTGCTGTCCCGTGTCGGGGTCCGTGGGCTCTGGCCATTGGCGCGGGTCAGGCCATTGGTGCTGCCGTGTATCCTGGCCGCGTGTCTCCAGCGTGCCGGCCTCGCTGTCCTGGCCGGAGGGCTCGCGATCTGCCCGCGACAGTTCCGGCTGCACGCCTGGCGAGGTTTTGCGGGGAGAGGCGGGCCGCATGGTTGGCCGCCAGGCGGGGGTCGGATCGTCTCCGGCAGCCAGGGCGGGCGCTGCCCTGTGGAACGTGGGGAGAGGCCCCTTTCGCTGGCGTTCGCCTTCGGGCCTGTGCCCGCCGTCGCTCCCGGGTGCGTCCCCTTCGGACAGCGCAGGGCTCTCGCCTGTCTCGGAGGTGCCGCTAGTTGTGCCAGGCGCGCGCACGTCCTGCGACGCAGTTTCCGTTGCCAGAGCACGAGATTCTTTGGCAGTCGTGTCTTGGACGTCAGGAGAGAGCACCTGGGGTTCGCCGTCCATTAGAGTGGGTTCGCTGGCAGGGGAAGGGGGGCGAATGGGCGCGAAGGGGTTTCTCCCGACGAGCCAGTGAATGGCTTCGCTGTCCTGCGCCTGGACGGTTGGTCCGTGGTCCCCCTGCTGGGTCTGTGGCGCTCCCAGAGGGCAGCTGACGGTCTGATTGTTTTGGGGGGGAGGTGGGGGTGGCACGGTGTGGCAGGCGAGCCCCTGCTGTTCCGGGATCTCGCTTAGCTGACTGATGCGGCTACCGTCGGCACTTTCGGGGGTATCCCTTGCCCACCAGGTTCTAATCCAGAGACACGGATGAAGGCTTGTGCCGCTTCCGCACCTTGAGAGGCTTGCGCCGCTTCGGGCCCCTGATACTCCGCGGCCTCCGCAGCCTCCGCCGACTCCGCCGCGGCCCCCCTCTCCTTTTCTTTGCCCTGCTGCTGATGCTGAGGGAGCAAGGGTACCTCAGAGTCTTCTCGTGGGTTCTGCTGGCTCCCAGAGGGGGGTGTTGTTGTTGTGGCAGCTGGGAGAAGGATAAAGAGGAAGGTAAAGAGGAGGATAAAGAGGAGGAAGAGGAGATGGAGGAGGAGGATGCGGAGGAGGAGGAGGAGGAGGGGGAGTACGAGGGGGAGGAGGAGGGGAAGGAGGAGGAGGAGAAGGAGGAGGAGGAGGAGGAGGAGGAGGAGGACGAGGAAAAGGAGGAGGATAAAGAGGAGGAGGAGGTGGACGAGGAGGAGGAGGAGGAGGAGGAGGAGGAGGAGGAGGAGGAGATGGAGGAGGAGGAGGAGGAGGAGGAAATGGAGGAGGATAGGGAGGAGGAAGTTCGAGTTTTGGACCGAGCACCCCCAGGTTTGGCAGCTGCAGCCCGGGAACGCATCAAACACTCGCGCTGCCCCGGTGCACAGCTGCTGCCAGCCGTGCTCGAGGCGGGCGGCCGATGGGGGCGCGGGCTCCGCTCGTGGGCGCGCTCCGCTCGTGGGCGCGCCGCGGTGACCAGCTCGCAGACCTTCGGTGCGGCTTGGTCGTGGCCTTGCAGCGGGGTGTGACTGCGACCCTGCTCGCCGCCAGCTCCGGGGCCGTGCGCCCTCTGCACGCGGGCTGAGGCTCCCCTGTCGGGGATTGCGAAAGGTGCTCCTGGCCCGAGGTACCCCCAGCTCAGCTTTTCGTTCCATTTCAGAAACCTGGGGCCTTCTGAGCCTCGTGAGGGGTGCTCTGGAGGCCGTGGGGGTCTCCTTCGAAGTCCTGGGGACACTTGGGGCCAGGGGCACTTCTAAAACACCCGACCTTGCTGGCTGCCGCTCCTCCGTAGTCAGCTTGGCTGCTGCCAGCTGGCTGCGCGTCTCACAGGTCCCTCTCCTTCCCGTCTCTTTCCCCACTCCTTTCTTGCCCTTGCCCTGATGGACCCCGGAAGAAAGGTCTACCCTAGGCCTAGCCCCAGGACCAACCCTCAGGGCTACCCTAGGCCTAGGGCCTAGGGCCTAGGGCCTACCCCTAGGGCTACTCCAGGTCTACTCCCAGGGCCTACCCCTAGGGCTACCCTAGGCATACCCCTAGGGCCTAATTACCCCGTGCCTCGGGCGGGCGCGCGCTTAGCGTTGGGGTCGGGTGGCTCGCGACCGCGTTCCCGTCTCCTCCGCCTTCCTATTCCTTCCGGCTTTCTCCTCCCTCACCAAGCGCGTTCCGCGACTCAAGGTGCCTACTCGCAAACGTCCGGAACAAAAACGTGTCTTTCTCTATGTCATGGATCGTACATCCCCCGCGGCGGATCCGGGCCATCTGCGAGTAGTTACCTTGCGAGTAGTGGAACGCGCTTGTCTACTCCCTCTCTCTCTCTCTCTCCCTCCTTCCTGCGGTGTTTTTTTCGGGGGAGGGGGGGGGGGCGGGGCCCTGTCGCGGGTGCCCGGGTGGACTGTCGCCCTCCGCCAGGGCAGTGAGAAAGATAGCTGGGTGGGCGCACCCGTGCTGTGGCGCAGGGTGGACGCTGGGCCGACACGCTTGGCCCCAGTGGACACGTGTTCCGGAGTTGGACAGGTGCGGGGTCGCGGATTCAGCAGGAGGAGGAGGAGGAGGACGACGACGAGGAGGAGGAGGAGGAGGAGGAGGAGGAGGAGTGGCAACCGCGAGCGCTACCGATCCTGCCTTTCGAACGGATTCGCGTTTTTTTTTTGGGGGGGGGGGCTCTCGGACCCAGAACGAGCCTGGAGAGGGCGTTCAACCTTGAGCTGAACTCCTGCGCGAGCGTCGCTGCCTTGTCGGGGCAACGCGGACCTGCCGTAGGGTTGTTTTCGTGTTCCGAGCCCCCCACCCCCCCCAAAAAAAAACACCATCTTTCAGCATCGTGTAACCGTTCACCATCAACACTGTTCCATGGTATCTTGGCCCCGCCAGTCCACCCCACCAGTTGGGAATAGGCCCCGCCCAACCCAAGGGAACAGCACATACAGTGGAGACCCGTGCCAAGAAACACCCTGCTCGTCTCCAGGCTGCCCTGGGTTTCTTGGGTTTCGATGGTTCTTCTACGGAAAGCGTGACGTTCCCACACCGAAACTCAATGAACGTCCAGGGGTCTCAGGGCTTGGTTTCTTGTGGAAGGTTTCGCGTGGTCGGGCCCCCACTGTAATCCCCACCAGAGGGGGTCGTCCGGTCAATGAGGTCACGGCCATGACAGTGGGGATGAGGATCGGTTCCGCGCTGCTGGCTCTGGGCGAAGTTGTCTAATTTAGCTGCGCCCGGCCGAGGGCACGCGCCGCTCCCGCTGCCGGCTCCCCCGCTTCCCGCTCCCCCGCTTGACCCGCGCCGCTTCTCCTTCTGTGTCCGCTTCTCGTTTTCTCCCGCGCTGGCTCCTCACCCCCGCTCGTCCTCCTCCTCCTCCTCCTCCTCCTCCTCCTCCTCCTCCTCCTCCTCCTCTCCTCGCTCCCGCTCCCGGCCGCCGCTCCCCCGACCACCGCGCCTCGCTCCTCGCTCACGCTCCCGACCACCGCTCTCTCATTCGAGCCCCCGCCCCGCGCTCTTTCGTTGTGCTCCCGCGTCCAGGCCGCCTTTTTGCCCTGCCCCCCTTGCTGCGACCAGTGGCGAGCCGTACCCCTGCGGGTCCAAGGGGCGCTGGGAGCATCGGTCGCCCGCGCAGGGGGCGTGCTTGGCTGCAGAGATCCTCTGGCATCTGAGCCCCAGCCAGCGTTTCTGAAGTCGGGTTCGGGGGCCTCTTTGGCCGTCTTAGGGCATTCCTGGCCCGTCTGACGCCGTCGGAAGCCGTCTTGCGGGCCTCTCTGGGCCGACTTGGGGCCCTCTTGGGGTGCTCTTGGGCCATATTGGAGGCCATTTTGGGCGTCGTCGAGTCCTCTTGGGCCGTCTTGGGGCCCTCCTGGGGCCGTCTTCGCGGCCTCTTGGGCCACTCTGGGGCCATCTTGGAAGGCCCTGCCCGGGGTAGGGTTCACACGTGGCCGCTTACCTTTCGCCTTCCCATGTTCACCCTCCTCGGCATGCGTGGTGGTGGGGGGGGGGTCACTCAGGTGTTCGCGCAGCTCAGTGCAGCCAGGCGCGGCGGCCCTTGGCGAGCTTGCCCCCTTCCAAGCCTTGAGGATGACGAGAAGTACGAGTAATATCAGGAGGAGGTCAAGGAGGATCGTGATGATGATGGTGATGATGATGATGCTGATGATGCTGATGATGATGATGATGATGATGGTGTTGCTGAGGATTAGGATGATGATGCTGATGATGATGATGATGATGATGATGATGATGCTGCTGATGCTGATGCTGATGCTGATGATGATGATGATGATGATGATGATGATAGTGATGATGGTGATGCTGATGCAGTTGATGTTGATGGTGATGATGCTGATGATGATGCTGCTGTTGATGATGATGGTGATGCTGATGATGACGACGATGGTTATGCTGATGCTGTTGCTGCTGATAATGATGACGCGAATGCTGATACTGATAATACTGATGCTGATACGGATGCTGATTATGCTGCCGAGGCTGATGCTGCTGATGATGATGGTGATGGTGATGATGCTGAAGATGACTATGACGACGATCATGATGACGACGATGATGCTGATGATGCGGATTCGGATGCTGACGCTGCTGATGAAGATGCCGACGGATGCTAATGTTGACGATGCTGATGTAGATGATGCTAATGTTGACGATGCTGATGATGGCGGTGATGATGATTCTGATGTTGAGGATACTTATGATGGTGATGATGATGATGACCATCATGCTCACGACCACGATGGCGATGCTGATGCTGCTGATGATGATGATGACGACAATTCTCGTTGTGGCGGTGATTCTGATGGTGAAGGTGATGATGGCGACGATGATGCTGACGACAATGATGCTGATGCTGATGGTCATGACGGTGATGATGCTGCTGATGATGATGACGACGATTTTAGTTGTGGTGGTGATTCTGATGGTGATGATGAAGATTGTGACGGTGCTGGTGCTGGTACCCGTGCTGGTGAAGTTGATGGTGATGGTGATGATGTTGTTGCTGATGACGATGGTGATGATGATGCTGATGCTGATGCTGATGGTGCTGATGATGATGGTGATGATGGCGACGATGATGCTGACGACGATGATGCTGATGCTGATGCTGATGGTGATGATGATGATGATGATGGTGATGGTGATGCTGACGCTGATGGTCATGGTGGTGCTGGTGCTGGTGGTGTTGATGGTGATGGTGATGATGATGCTGCTGATGATGATGATGCTGTTGCTGCTGATGAGGATCCTGATGTTGATGCTGCTGCTGATGATGATGGTGATGGTGGCGGTGATGATGATTGTGCTGCTGATGATTATGATGATGCTGCTGGTGATGGCTGTGGTGATGGTGATGGTTGTGATGGTGGTGATGGTGATGGTGATGGTGATGATGGTGATGCTGCTGCTGATGATGATGATGATGATGATGATGATGATGATGAGGGTGGCGATGATTCGGATGATGATGATGATGATGACGATGATGATGATGATGATGATGATGATGATGTTGATGATGATGATGATCTGATGACGACGATGATGACGATGATGCTGCTGTTGATGCTGATAATGACGACGACGATGAGGAAACGGGGAGGAGGAGGAGGAGGAGCAGGCGGTGATTTATGAAATGGCGGATGAGGAGACGGAGGAGGAGTAGGAGGAGGAGGAGGAGGAGGAAGAGGATCATGTGGTGAGTAGGGGAAGGGAGTTGTGAGGGAGGAGAGGGGCAGAGGTACGATACGGGAGAGATGTGAGAGACGAAAGACAGGACTGGAGGAGCAACTAGAAGATAGAAAAATAAACATGTATAATCTATATACATATTTTTATACATATAAGTATATCTATATATGTATATCATCAAGAATTAAGGAATCGATCGATGGGCAGGGCCTATACTCCAGAGTGAACAATAAATACATGACCGGAAACATTGTTTCAACTATTTTTTTCCTTCCTGCAATTGCGGGTCATGGGGGGATTGGGGGGGATTTGTGAATTTGGAGGGCTTCTACAGAGGAAAAAAGCAGGAGTTGGGGAGGATTTGAAAATTTGCGAGGGTTCTACCAAGGAAAATCAGGAGTTGGGGGGGATTTGGGAATTGGAGAGGATTCTGCAGAGGAGAACGCAGGAGTCGGAGATGATTTGGGAAGTGGGGAAGATTCTACAAAGGAGCCAGCAGGAGATGGGGAGGAATTGGGGATTGGGGGGGATTCTGCAACGGAAAGGCAGGAGTTGGGGATGATTTGGGAATTGGTTAGGAATTCTCAGAGGAAGCGACCGTGGAGGGAAGTTCGTCCTTGCTCACCGCCCTACCCCTGGCCCCCCAGTTTCTGAAGATGTAGAGCTCGAGTTGAAGCATGCTCGTGCCTCTTTGTCTGCTCAGTATGAAGATGTTGACACTTAGGAGCTCGCTGTGGGAATTTGGCTATGTTGCTTACCGGCCGCTTCAGAAGACCCCCAAGGTTGCCTGCCCCGGGGCCCCGCACGAGTGGTCCTATTTTGGCGTGTTTTGGGGGTGCCCGGCGTGCTGGCAGATCAGCAACAAGAGGTGGCCATTGATACCGCCCCCTGGTCGCTGCCCTGAGAAAGTTAGCAGGTCTCTGCCGGCTTTCGCCGACCGCAATCACAAGTGCATAATGTTCTGGAGGTCGGAAAGGGGTGTGGCATAAAGGGGTGTGGTGCCAATGCTGAGTCTGGCGATGTCATCTATCGTAGATAGCATGTCGATTTCCACGAGTGACACCACACCCCTTTCTGCCACACCCCTTTCCTACCTCCAGAACGGTTGCAGTGCAGTGATGTTTCTGCTTTGCTTATTTGTGTTGCCTGCAGGGCGTGCAGTTCTCGTGGCCGCATGATTCCCCTCAACCGTCACATTGCCCCCCGCCCCCCTCTCTCGCTTTGGCAAGGGGTGCGTGGCCCAACATGTGCCAAGGGATGCATCCAACGCGGTCGCATGTTCCTGTCCATTTCAAGTCGGGCGTGTCCCTCCACAGGGGGAGTGCTCAAAAGAGAGTTCAAACATAGTCTGGGGCACGACTTCGGATTCTGTTCGGAATCGGCTTGAGCATTTGTAGCCATGTCTTTTTTTTTCGCCCAACACCCGCCTGCAGGAGGACCCGCCCGACCCGATGTTCACTTGGCATCGCTCGGACGTGTGCAGTTCTCCTTCGGCGAGGACCATCGAGGAGCATCCTTGATCATTTGGCGAAACAACCACGCACGAAACCGAAAAAAACACAGGGAATGGACGTCCGAGCGATGGCCAGTTCATTGCCCTCTCCATCTGGGCAAAGGGTCCGACCCAGCCAGCCAGCCCGAGCCAGCCCGCGCCTCGTGCTCGGACCTACCCCTCCTGCGGTGGAGGAACCCCGAGCTGCTCAGCTGGTCGAGCCCCTGGTGAACCGTGATCAGTTTTAAGTCGGGCCTGTCCCTCCCCGTATATTCAAGAATAGTCAAAGTTGACTGGGGACGATCTTTCGACTATATTTGGCTATGTTTGAATATGTGTTGGGTATTTTCTACTCTTCGTCCAAAATCCGCCTGTAGGGGGACACGCCCGACTTAAATTCAGTCGAGTTCGGTGGTGGAGTCCCTTCGCGAAGAGCAAGACACAGCTCCGTTGGACACGCAACGTATCGCGGAAGCTCGCGGGTTGGACTCTGACAGCGTTTTCCGCAGTAGTGTCTCTCTTATGTGTTGTTCCCCTGTTATGGGGCTCCGTCAGACCTGCCCGCCGTAGAAAAGGCAGTCTGGCCCTCGTCTCTTGTTCCGTGCCCTCGCCACTTTTTTTTGACGTGTGTGGGCGCTGTTCAGCGGGGGGCGTTGAGCCGTCTCGTTCTACTCGGGGTCAGCAGGTGCAGCGGCCGTTGGTCCTCCTATTTCGCTCCCAGGGCCTCTGCATCCCCTTGGGCATTTTCCTCGCGAGTCGGGTCTCGTTGGCTTTCGCCTCCCCGAGGGTCTTTTGTGCTAAGATTTGGTCGGCGTCACTCCAGGTGTCGCTCCGTTCTTCTCCTGCTCACCTACAGCGTGGGCTGACGGTCTGCCTTTCAAAGCCGCGCAGCCTAAGGCGTGGTCACCGTCCTTGTCTGTAGAAGCTTTTTGTGTATTTTTTCAAGCAAACAGAACATCCGTCTTACTTGCCCTCCCCCACATGGGCTCCGCCCCCGCCCATGTACCCCTGTCCTCCCTTCCTTCCGCCCCCTCCCTGTTTACCCCCACTCCCCAGCGCGGGTCCCTCCAAGCTGGGCTTTCTTGTCATGCGAGCTACCCCCTTCGACGGCCTCTTCCAACGACGCGCGCGCGCGCGCGAGGAAAAGCCGGTTGACGAGACTGGATGGGGAGTTCGCCGCCGCGACTGCCGTTGGTGCCGTCGGGCCGGGTCTCTCTTTGCGTCGGGGCCTGGCTAAGGTTAAGTCGGGCCTGTCTCTCTACAGGAGGAATATTCAAAAATAAAAAAAATAGTGTGGGGACGATTTTTATATTATTTGTGCAAATTTAGGAGTTTTTTTGATTATGATTCATTTTTCACCCAAAATCCGCCTGTAGGGGGACATGCCCGACCGAAGGCTAAGGGGCGCAAACATTGCCTGGTAAGACGGCGTCGCGCCCTCCGTGCCCTCCCTGCTGTTGCGTTGCATCTTCAGGGGGCCTCGTCTGTCCCCCCAAAATCGGTGTCTTCTCTCGTGTCCGACGCGGGCTCGATGCAGCATCGACGTGGACTTGGCGCGGATTCGCTTGGATTCGGCGTTGGTTCGACGCGGATTCGACGACTGCGGCATGTACTCAACACGGATTCGACACAGTTTCGACGCAGATAGGGACGCGACGGGACAGACAAGGTTCCGAGCCCAAACCATGAGGGGTAATTCGGGTCAGGGCTAACTCGGGTTGGTTTTTCGGGATTCCGAACCCGAACTACCCCGGACCCGAGTTACCCCAGATAATTCGGGCGTCCAGATCCCCAACCATCAGGAGTAACTCGGGTCAGGGCTAACTCGTGTTCGTTTTTCGGGATTCCGAACCCGAGTTACCCCGGACCCGAGTTGCCCCTGATAATTCGGGCGTCCAGAGCCCCAACCATTAGGGGTATGTCGGGTCAGGGCTAACTCGGGTTCGTTTTTCGGGATTCCGAACCCGAGTTACCCCAGACCCGAGTTACCCCGGATAACTCGAGAGCCCAAAAGGTCCCACGAAGATGCAGCACAGCGTGCTGTCCTCCTGCCTCTGGAGCAGCTGCTGCCGCCCTTCCCCCGCCTGGTGCCGCCGATCTTGCCGCTGAGGCTGCCGCTGCTCCTGCTCCTTCCCCGACCGTGCTCTTATGTTGTTCCCATCGCACTTACGGACTACATCCCAGAAATACTTTTCGAAATACTTTTCGGTATCGTTTAACCAATCCCCATCCCCATCCCCTTCGAGACCCCCACCAAATTACCACCCTAGTTGGGGATACACTGGCCCTGATGGACTACCCTACATGGCATGGAAGAAGACACCACAGGCTGCGCAGATCCCCCGCAACGTCACCATGGAAATCATGAAAGGTCTCCCTGCGCCACCAGTCTTCAATGAATCGCTGCTGGTCATCACGCCGAGAAGGTAAGGAACTTGAAGAATTCCAGACCGTGACGAGGCTGGGGAAAGCGACCCGCCTACTGTCCTTGAAGAACACTGACTGCAAGATCGTGGCGGCGATGGGCAACTCATTAATGAAGCCAATCATTGCGAAGTCGGCGCACCACGCGCAGAATGGCTTCCTCCCCAATTGGCAATTCATCGAGCACGTGGTGATGATGGACGCCCAAGCCCGCATCGTCGCCATGACACCCAAAGAATTGGAGAGAGACCCACTCATGATGATGTTTGACTTCGGCAATGCGTTCCCGTCGATGTGCCGCAACTTCCTCTCTCAAGTGTGGCGGCTTCCCTCGCAGTACCTCAACATGGTTGACGCGATCTACATGTTCCCGCTGGCCTGGACCATCCTGAGCGGCACGATGCAGGTATCCTGCTGGCTCGCATCTGGCATCCTGCAGGGATGCCCCTGGTCTGGGGCGCTCTTGGCGGCCGGCGTGGACCCCTATCATCAAGACCTCTTCCATCGCACGCGCCACTTCAAGCAGCGGGTCATTGCAGTCTGCGCTGACGACGTGGGCGCGGTCCTCCCCATCCGTACAGACGATTCGCCCACTGAGCGGTGTATTCTATGGTGCGGAGCACCTGGCGCACCTGGCCCTCAAGACGCTGAAGTGCAAGATTGTACCGCTGGCGGAGGAGTTCTCCGCTGAGCTAGAGGTGCGGTCAAGACGAAAATGGCCAAGCTGGTGCCGCGGTGGGCCAACATGCAGGTGACGCCAACCGCGGAGTACCTCAGTGTGCTGCTGGGCCCCTCAGACACGAACGAGATGCGCTGGCAGAAGGTGGTGGCAGGTTGGGAACATGTGGCATACGCAATCGCGGATGCAGGAACCCCAGCCAGCACGTCGTTGCAGCTATGTAGCCAGCCCGCGGTCACGAAAGCATCCTGCCTTGGACAATTACTAGATGGTCCCAGCACCCTGCGCCGCCGAGAGTCTTGGATTCTTCATCGGCTGTGGCATATTCCTCTTCAAGCGTTTCACCGTGAATATCTTCTGGCGCAGGGGCAATGGTCACCTCTCAAAGCGCACTCGATGGAGATTCTGAGTTGGGCCGCTCTCGTGCGGAGCCCGAAGACACCATCAAGAACTGGGACCTCTGGCCACGGCGCCTCCAGACCTGGCTGGACCAGTTGGCGAACCCCGATCCACTGGCCCAGCTGGCGAAGCCCGATCGACTGGCGCCGTCCCGCTGGAAGGAAGCACCCATGGTGCTGACGCTGCAGCAGGCTGCACGCGGATTCAAGCACCTGGGCAGCCAGAGCCCGACGGCCGCAGCCTGCGTGAATGCACTGTGCGCATGCCTCCCGCTCGCCTCGGCATGCAGAGATTACTCCACGCCCACCTCGTCTCCTCTCTCCTCCAGCCTTCCCTCGTCCCGGCCTTCCTCGCTCGATTCCAGTCTTGGGCACTTGCGGGCATTATTTTCACAATAACCAGATCGATTGGGATTAGACCCTGCGCCTGGTCAAGACGTTCACTCCCGCGTGCCAATCGGCCCTGTTAAAAACCTGGGCTGGTGGATGGACGACAAGTCGTCGCCTCCCCCTTTCCGGGAGGGGAGCAAGCATGTGTTTTCGGCTGCCAGAGCTGTGAGAATGCGAGAACCACTGGCGTAATGTCCAACTACGCGAGTTGCCCGCATTTGTGGCTCGCGGTTTGCTCTGTCGGGCATGTCAGGATCCCTACCCTTGAATGTCTGGTGGAGCAATGGGCCAGGCGTGATTCTGCGCTTGCCAGCGCGCGTGCTGTTCGAGCGCTCACGTTCACTACATACTCTGTGCCAGTATCGCTGGCTTGTCGGCGCTGTCAGAATATACATACATACGTACATGTATATAATACAGCAATGTGTGAGTGACATATTGTTATGTGCATATAGACTTGTGTGTTTATCATGATTCCTTTATCCTGGTTTACGGAAGTAGGGCGAAATCGTCTCTCACGTGGTTGATCGTGCCGAAACATGTTGCCACCCCCGAACCAATGGGTGTTTCCACAGCTTTTTCCAGGTGCAATCAAGCGGAGTATCGTAGGGCCACTCAAGGTCAGAGGCGATACGTGCTTATAGTGAATTGTATCGGTTCGTTTTGCTTTGTGCTAGCGCCCGCGTCTGATTGTCCTGGCCTCTGCTGTAACCTCGTCCTCTCTGTATCGGAGGCGAGCGGGTGAGGTCGAAGTGGAACGGAGAGCCCCCCACTGGGAGATCGGTTTCCGTTTCGTGTTCGTGTCGTGCGTGCGGGCGAGGTGAAGTTGCATGGGCGGGCGAGAGGAATTCACTCTGCTGTCGCTAGGGGATCGCCAACACAAATGTTTTCCCCCCCGGCCTTGTCAAGCGGGGGCCCGCATTGTCCCGTCGGTGGCTCGCCGTTGTCCCGTCGGTGTCCCGTCGGTGTCCTGTCGTGAGATCGATAGTGAGATCGCCTGTGAGACCGATCGTGAGATCGATCGTGAGATCGATAGTGAGATCGATCGTGAGATCGATAGTGAGACCGAATGTGAGATCGATTGTGAGATCGACTGTGATACCGATTGAGATCGATTGTGAGACCAAATGTGAGATCGACAGTGATATCGATCGGAGGTGAGGGGGTGAGATCGAAGTGGAACGGAGAGCCCTCCACCGGGAAATCAAGTTCGGTTTCGTGTTCGTGTCGTGCGTGCGGGCGAGGCGAAGCTGCGTGGGCGGGCGAGAGGAATTCACCCTGCTGTCGCTAGGGGTCCGCCAACACAAATGTTTCCCCCCGGCCTTGTCAAGCGGTAGCCCACATTGTCCCGTCGGTTGCCCGCCGTTGTCCCGTCGGTGTTCCGTCGGTGTCCCGTCGGTGTCCTGTCGTGGGATCGATAGTGAGATCAATTGTGAGACCGATCGTGAGATCGATAGTGAGATCGATAGTGAGATCGATAGATAAGCCGACTGTGAGATCGATTGTGAGATCGATTGTGATATCGATTGCGTTCGATAGTGAGACCGAATATGAGATCGATCGTGGGATATATTGTGAGATCCATAGTTTGATAGTGGGATCGATAGTGACATCGATGGTGGGATCGATAGTGAGATCGATTGTGAGACCGAATGTGAGAACGAATGTTGGGTCGATAGTGAGATCGATAGTGAGATCGATAGTGATATCGATCGTGAAATTGATAGTGACTCCGAAAGTGAGATCGTTTGTGAGATCGAATGTGCGATCGATAGTGGGATCGATAGTGAGATCCATTGTGAGATTGATTGTGAGATCGATCGTCAGATCGATTGTGAGATCGATAGTGAGACCGATTATGAGATCGATTGAAAGATCGATAGTGAGACTGGTTGTGAGATCGATTGTGAGATTGATAGTGATATCGATCGTCAGTTCCATAGTGAGACCGAATGTGAGATCGATAGTGAGATCGATAGTGAGATGGATAATGAGATCGATTGTGGGGTTGATGGTAAGATCGATTGTGAGATCGATAGTGAGATCGATAGTGAGATCGATCGTAGGGTCGATACTCAGATCGATTATGAGACCGAATGTGGGATCGATGGTGAGATCGATAGGCAGATCGATAGTGAGACCGAATGCGAGGCCGAGTGTGCGATTGATTGTGAGACCGATGGTGAAATGGAAAGTGAGATCGATAGTGATATCGATAATGAGATCGACTGAATCAGATCGATAATGATATCGGTTGTGAGACCGATTGTGACATCGATAGTGAGATCGATAGTGAGATCGATCGAGTGATATCGATGGTGGGATCGATAGTGGGATCGATCGCGAGATGTATTGAGTGACGCGTTGGTTCCTCCTCCCCCCTCACTTCCTTATCACCCGAAGGGTGGTCGTATAGGTATTCCTCCCTTTTCTCCCCAGCCACGTGTTGCTTCTCCGAGCCCCTTCGCCACTGGTCTTCGGCCTCATGCCAGTGCCCCTTGGCCTCGCGCCACGTTTTTAACCGACGCCGTTCTGAGATTCGCGCATCCCCTACTTCACGTCGATTATGCCGGTCCATTGTACTCGACGGCCTTTTGCTAGGCTGCAGTGGGGATTTTGAATAATGTTTTAGTTTGCAGCTTCGGTGGCTAATCGAGTGTAAGCGCCGAGGTGTGCCTTCAGCCAACGCGCCGCCCCGTTTAGTGCGTTCCCCGTAGAGGGTCTTCAAAGTAGAAAGCAACAGAACATGTTCAAGGAGGGGGCCGGATAATGGAAACGAAACGACTGGTAGCGGGCTTGTTGCGCGCCCGCTGTCCGCCACCCCCGCAGAATTCTAAGACACGCCCAGGCAGCCCAAGACGACCCCAGTAGACCCCAGGAGGTCCTCGACAGACCCTGAAGAGGCCACCAGGATAGCCCCAAAC